TTAAGCCTCAGTGCCACTTTTGGCTTTTTTTGAGTAGTTAATTGGAGATAAGAATCTCACATACTTTCCTGCCCAGGCTGGCTTTGAACCACAATCCTCAAATCTTCACCTCCTGAGTAGCTAGGACTACAGGCATGCCCTTCTCCTTTTTCTTTTCTTTCCTTCCCATCCTCCCTTTCTCCCTCCCTCCCTGCCTGCCTTCTTTCTTCCTTCCTTCCTTCCTTCTTTCTTTCCTTCTGTCATGGGGCCTGAACTCTGGGCCTGGGTGCTATTCCTCAGCTCTTCAGCTCAAGGCTAGCGCTCTACCACTTGAGCAACAGCACCACTTCCAGCTTTTTCTGCTGAGGAATCAAACCCAGGGCCTCACTCTACCACTGAGCCACCTTCCCAGCCTTTCTTCTTTTTCTTAAAGTGCCAATACTGGAGCTTGAACTCAGCTTGGGTGCTGACCCTGAGCTTTTTCACTCAAGGCTAGCACCCTACCACTTGAGCCACACCTTCACTTCCAGCTTTTTGGTGGTTCATAGGAGATACGAGTCTTACAAGCAGGGCACTGGTGGCTCATGCCTGTAATCCTAGCTATTCAAGAGGCTGAGATCTGAGGATTGTGGTTCAAAGCCAGCCTGGGTGGGAAAGTCTGTACTAAACACCAGAAAACTGGAAGTGGTGTTGTGGCTCAAGTGGTAGAGTACTCTACTTGAGCTGAAGAGCTGAGGAACAGCGCCCAGAGTTCAAGCCCCACAATTGACAAAAAATAGGATAAAATAGAGTCTTTCAGACTTTTCTGCCTGCCTTTGAACTTCAATCCTCAGATTTCAGCCTCCTGAGTAGCTGGGATGACAGACAAGAGCAAAGGCACTCAGCTAGAAAGGTCCTTCTTTGTTGTGGGCTGTAGCTCTGTAAATGAAAGTTCCATCAGCTCGCTAACCTAATTACCGCCCGCTTTCCTCCCATTTCATTTAGCTAAGAGCTCTTTTATCTTCAAGGACCCATTAACATGCCATGGATCTTTTCAAATTCTGGTAGCATGCCTGGTAATTACCAATTTCCTTTTGGACTTTTATTTTCTTTGCTAGTGTTCAAAAATGCTATCGTGATGATCCTGGGAGTGAAATGTTTTCCTACTTGCTGGATCAATTCCAGAGTTTAACTTCCTGGAAACATATGCTTGGATCAGCAGTTTGGGTTAATAGTCAGACTGCCCAGTCCTTTCTAGAAAGTTCATTCCTATTTCTCTCCCAGTCATGGTGAATAGCTCTCTCAATCCCTCCAAGCCATCTTGATTGTGGGGAAACTTTTCTTTTTCCTTGGCTGACATGGGGGCTGGGGCCTGGGTGCTGTCCCTGAGCTCTTTTGCTCAAGGCTAGCGCTCTACCTCATTGAGCCACAGCACCACTTCCAGTTTTCTGATGGTTCATTGGAGATCAGAGTCTCATGGACTTTCCTGCCTGAGCTGGCTTTGAACCACGAACCTCAGAGTTTAGCCTCCTGAGTAGCTAGGATTACAGTTGTCACCCAGCTGAATCTTCCCTTTAGCGAGGATAATTATGAAGTCTGATGGCAAAAGACAAGGAAGCAGGGAGGAGTGAAAAAATCAGAGCCATTTTTCCTGACCACCAGACCCCCTTCATGGAGTGTCTTAAGTAAGGAAAATAACTAGCTATTATTAACTAAAGAAACCCCGAAAGCAGGTACTGGTAGCTCATTCTTGTAATCCTAACTACTGGGGGCTTGAACTCAGGGCCATGGGGTCTTACTTACCTTATTTTGCTCAAGTCTGGCTCTTGACCACTTGAGCCACACTCCACTTCTGGCTTTTTGATTGTTACTAAAGAGTTAAGAGTTGTACGGACTTTCCTGCCCAGGCTGGCTTCAAACCACAATCTTCTTGGTTTCAGCTTCCTGAATAGCTAGGATTACAGGTGTGAAACACCTGTGCCTGGCTGGGGTCAGCCTTTTAATTTCAGTGGCTATGGTGGGTATGGAGTGGTATTTCATTGTGGCTTATATTTCCCTAATGACTAATAGTGTTGAAAATACCTTCCCATGCTTATTATCGACCATTAGTGTCTCTTTTGCATAGTGTCTGCTCCCAAATCCCATGGCCATTTTAAAAATTAGGTTATTCATCTGCTATCTATTTCACTTTTAGTTTTTGCAGTGCTAGAGTTCAGCTAGGGGCCTTGCACATCTTAGGTGAATGTTTTATCTCTGAATTACATCCCCAGCAGCTATTTGTCTGATTTTTTTTTTCATTTAGAAGGGGATCTACTTTGGGTGGGGCTTGAACTCACAGCCTCAGGATCTCATTTGGTTTTTTGTTTTATTGTTGTTGTTTTTTTTGGGGGGGGGCCTAAACTCTGGGCCTGGGCACTGTCCCTCAGCTCTTCAGCTCAAGGCTAGCGCTTTACCACTTGAGCCACAGCTCCACTTCCGGCTTTTTCTGTTTATGTGGTGCTGAGGAATCAAACCCAGGGCCTCATGCATGCAAGGCAAGTGCTCTACCACCTTCCCAGCCCCTGCCCCCCTTTTTTTTTTTTTTCTAAAGACGGGTGCTCTGCCTCTTAAGCCAGGCCTCCACTTCTGGCTGTTTTTGCTGGTTAATTGGAGATAAGAGTCTTACAGAGTTTCCTTCCAAGGCTGGCTTCAAACTTTGATCCTCCAGATCTCAGCCTCCTTAGTAGTTAGGATTACTTACAAGCGTGAGATCCAAACTTGGCTGGCTGAGGTTTGTTCTTTTTCTTCTCTTTTCTTTCTTTCTTTTTTAAAAGAGTTTCTTTAGGTTGCTGGTGGGTGCAGCTACTATGAGCCAGCTTTGTCACCCTTCCCCGGCTGCCTCCCACCCCAGCCCAGCTCTTGGCCTGTGGCAGGGAGAGGCTGAGGTATTTTGCAAGTCTCCTGTGGAGGGCCCAACCTGGAACAATCCAGGTTCCTCCTTTTCATCCTTTTCCTTCATCCAAAGGCTGTGCGTTTCTCGCACACGCACACACACACACACACACACGCGCACGCGCACACACACACGCGCGCGCGCGCGCGCACACACACACACACACACACACACACACATTGGACCAAAGAATAGCTCAGGCCTTTCTTCTGTGGTCCCAACCATCAGTTTTATCAGTTATAAAAGCCAAACATGGGCTGGGAAGGTGGCTCAGTGGTAGAGTGCTTGCCTTGCTTGCATGAGGCCCTGGGTTCGATTCCTCAGTACCACATGAGCAGAAAAAGCCGGAAGTGGTGCTGTGGCTCAAGTGCTAGCCTTGAGCTGAAGAGCTGAGGGACAGCGCCCAGGCCCAGAGTTCAGCCTCCACAACCAACCAACCAAACAAACAAAAAAAGTCAAAACGTGTCACTTCTAATGGGAATTGGTGAGTCATACCTGTCATCCTAGCTGCCCAGAGAGCTGCAGGTCACAGGTTCAAAGCCAGCCCAGGCAAGATAGTCCATGAGACTCGCCTTACCTGATACCTGTGAACACCTGTCAGGTCCTGGCCTGAGTGGCCATCCCTGGTAGAGGCTCTGTTCTGGGTTGCTGGAGAGGCCTTGGAGGCCCACAGGAATAGATACTGGGGCTTGAACTCAGGACCTTGGGTTCTCATGTTGCCCAAAGTTAGGACTGTCCACAGTGCGGGAGAAGCCTGGCTCTGGGGCTCCTTGCAGACCTCACAGGCCTCCCTTTCCCCGCTGACACCCCACTTCTGTTGTCCTGTGACCAGTGTCCAACTTCCCCTTTGTCTCAGGAGCTGGGGCTGGGGGAGGGGGCTGTGATGGGGCGGATGGGGGAGGGGCTTCCTGCAGCTGGCTCTCCGCCTGCACCCTGACCTCAGGTTCCTCCTTCTCCAGCCTGGGCCTCGCAGCCATTGGGGTGAGGCATCCTTGTCTCCTCCCAGCTGCTTCCTCATGGCAGCCCTGCCCTGCCCATCCCACCCCTGCCCAGGGGTCACCCACACTGCCCTGGCCTCTCTGCAGGGGAGGAGGGATCTTGTGTGAAGCTAAACTCTCACCCTCTTCTCCTCCATTTTCTCTTCCATCTTCCTTGCTTTCTTTCTAAGAATTAAACATCTGGTGTTTTTTTTTTATTATTTTTTTCGGGGGGAGGGGTCTGGGTTTCATTTCTACCTTCATTTGCTGTGTGACCTTGGGTAAGCGTCTTTACCTCTCTGTTAACTGGGAATAAGAGCGTCTACCTCAGATGAAGGTTTGGGGATGATGTGATTTAATATTTGGGGCAGCATCTGGCATGTGATGCTCCAAGCCGATGGTTCCCTCAGGAGCCATGGATATCACAAAGCTTTTGATTACAGAAGGATGATTATTGTAACACGCTGGTGGCTCACACTTGTCATCCTAGCTACTAGGAGGCTGTGATCTGAGAGTTGCAGTTCAAAGCCAGCCTGGGAAGGAACGTTCATGAGACTCTTATTTCCAGTGAACCAGCAAAAAGCCAACCGTGGAGCTGTGGCTCAGGTGGTAGAGCACCAGCCTTGAGCAGAAAAAGCCAACTGAGAGCTTAAGATTTTGAGTTCAAACCCTAGTATACCAACACACACACACACACACACACACACACACACACACACACACACACCAATAATTACAGCAGATTCTTTGAAAAAGCTGACAAATAGCAGACCACATGCTAGGAACATTAATATATTTGACCTCTAACCTTTCTAGCCATTAGGCCCTCTGGATCTGATTTTTTTTCTGGTCCCCTAACTCTAGAACTCAGGGCCTAGACTCTGTCCCTGAGCCTATTTGTGCTCAAGGCTAGCACTCTACCACTTGAGCCACAGGGCCACTTCTGGTATTAGAGATGAGAGTCTCATGGGCTTTCCTGCTTGGGCTGGTTTTGAACCGCGATCATCAAATCTGAGCCTCCTGAGTAGCTAGGATGACAGGAGTGAGCCACGGGGCGCCTCGCAGGTCTGATTCTGATGGTGTCTGTCTGTCCCTCCTCCTCCAGGCCCGTCCCCTCCGCCTCCTGCCACCACCCATCTCAGACTTCCTCCTTCTCCTTCGACGCCACGTTACATCCCACTGGTCCCTGGACTGGGGTGTCCAGCAGCGCCCCGACAACATGGAGGCCTCCAAACCCTCCTGGTGGCTCTTGTGCCTTTCTGTCCTTCTGACTATGGATGGTGAGTTGGGGGGCTTCTACCGTAGTCCCCCTGGATCCCTTGGGTTCGGTTAGGGGTTGCGTCAGGATATGGAGTAAGAGCAGAAAACCAGAGGGAAGGGCTGGGCTACAGAGCAGGTTCCCTCCCAATCCTGAGGTGCCCCCAAGACTTGGCTCCTGGATGAAGCAGGCCAACGGGACACATAGGGGTGTCCTTCACCCCACAAGTAAGTATAGGAGTCACACAGCCTCAGTGCCAACTTCCTAGGTCTCTCCACCTTCCCCTGCAGCTTTGCTTACCTCCAGTCAGAGCTCTGTGCCTCAGTTTACCTCTTTCTCTCTCCGTAGGTCTCACTCCTGTCCAAGCCCAGAGTGGTAGGTATAGATCCTATAAAGACCTCCCAAAGATCTTCCTACCCCTACAACTTTCTCTGCCTCCCCCCCCTCAACTTCCGCTCCCTCCTTGCTTCCCCAAATCCTCCCCTCTGGCTTCCACTGGTCTCCCCTGACTCCTGTACCCATTCCCAGAATGCAACTGTTCTCCCGTGAGCCCCGGCGTGCTGGCTGGCATTGTGTTGGGGGACCTAGTGCTGACCTTGCTCATCGCCCTGGCCGTGTATTCCCTGGGTCGCCTGGTCCCTCGGGGACGAGGGGCTGCAGACAGTGAGTGAGCTGGCTGGGAGGAGGGGGGAGAAGGCGGGGGGGGGCATAATCACCTAGCTTCATCCATTTTGCATCCTCCCCTGCAGCATCCCGCAAACAGCGCATGGCTGAGACCGAGTCACCTTATCAGGTAAGAAAACCCAACTCTCTGTCACCTTAAGGGACTGCATTCCATTTGGTGGGCTCCTTCCTCTGATGATTTTTCCCCTTTAGGAGCTTCAAGGTCAGAGGCCAGATGTCTACAGCGATCTCAACACACAGAGGCAATATTACAAATGAGCATAATCCCCACCCTGATGCCTGGATCCAGCCATCCCCGACGCCCATCCGCCCAGCAAAGCCTTCCTACACCTATGGCTCCATTGGGTGCCCAAATAAACAATGGATCCCAAAAAGTATTATCTCCTGGGATGAGGAATTGGGGATGTGTGAGTTCTTAAGAGAGGAGTCTTGAACCTAAAACAGCTAAGTGGATGGGAATCTTGGCGAAGAAGAAAATAAGAGATATTTTCATTGCTTTATTTCAATGCAAAAGAGGTGTGTGTGTGTGTGTGTGTGTGTGTGTGTGTGTGTGTGTGTGTTGTATGTTCTTAGGCCAGCTCTGTGGTCCAGGATGAGAAGGTCAGAGATCAGAGGTCAGAGGTTGATCAGCCCCTGCTAGGCATGTTGATGTAGACGGTGCCATCTCCTGGTGTTGGGGAACAAGAGCATAAAGCCTGACCACCACCCACTCTCCGCCTTGCTGCGGGGACCCCCTGCTTTAGGGGCTTCCTCAGCGTGAGGTGGGAAGTTCCCCAGGCACCTCCTTAAGGGTTTCCCCAGTCCCTCCTCCAGGGCTTCCCCCAGGGTCTCCCTCCATGGGGACCCCACCTCCTCCTCCCGAGGGACACCATCTGTTCTTCAGGCCCCACCCCACCCCTCCCCTCACCTTGGGGGGAACCGCGGCGAGGTGAGCGAGCGCAGGCAAACACCACCCCCACCATGATCAGGGACATGGCGGCCTCTGCAGCCACGAGGCTGGCCAGCAGCGGCAGGGACAGGGGACCACATCCGGAGCAGGAGCCTGAGGGAGGGGGGGTAAAGGGGGGGGAACCAAGCCAGGAGCCGCTGAGGGGGGGGTTGTCTCCTGGGAGAGGGAGAGGGCTGGGGTGGGCCATCTCCCCGGGAGACCGATGGAACCTAGGTTTTCTAGGTTTGGGGAATGAAAGGAGAGATGGATCCTGGGAGATTCTGGAGGTGTCAGCAAACTCCAGGGGGAGGGGGGACACTAGGCACTGAGCAAATGGGGGGTACGGGCAGTGTGGGCCCACGGATGGCCAGATGGGAACTGGGAAGAGATGTAGGTCCTCTGGGGGCTTTGACTGACGGACAGGAGGTGAGCCGTGACATCTGGGGTGCTCTGGGCCCTTCACGGCAGCCTTGGGGATGGGAATAGTACCTGGATGAAAGGCAAAGTCCTGAAGAAAGGCCACCAGAGTCTCTTACCTGGGGATGTCTGAGCTGCAGCCACTGTGGGAAGACACAAGAAAAGGGGGGGTGAGGGAGGAGGTGGTCCCCACAGCTGGCAGCATAGAGGGGGCCAGGTGACATGAGATGGGGCGCTCCCAGGGACACAGGAGTGAGCAGAAAACAGGAAGTGGGGCTGTGACCCAGTCATGACTGGCTTGGGAGACAGGGCTCCACGGCTCCCCTCCCACACCCCTCAAAGCCCAGGCCTAGTGGATCCTCAAGAAGGGGAAGGACCCCAGCAGGGAAGGACTAACCCTTAGCACCTCATGCCTTCAGAGGACATCCCTTCCCCCACCCCCACATCCCTAGCCTGACACCCTCATGCCACTGGCTTTACCTGGGAGCAAAAACAGGAGCAAGAAGTAGCCCCGATACACCATGGTGGGCTGCGGCCTGAAGAATCTGTGGTCCAGAAGTCAGAACTAAGCATTTGTCACCCTAGAAGGGGTAAGGCCACCTACTTCCGGTGTGTGTGTGGTATCTTATGACACCCAGGGACACTGTGATTATCTGGGTGGAAGTTGACAGGGCCAGGGTATGGCACCAGGAAGATGCTGGAGTTCCTTCCTTCTTTTCCTTTCCCTCCCTTCCTGCCTGCCTGCCTGCTTGCTTTCCTTTTTAATTTTGTGCCAGTTCTTGGGCTTGAACTCAGAGCCTGGGTGCCGTCCTTTGCTTGGTCACTCAAGGCTGGCATGCTTTACTGACCACTTAAGCCATAGATCTACTTCTGGCTTTTTGCTGGTTCACTGGAGATTGAGAGTCTCGTAGACTTTCCTGCCCCGGCTGGCTTCGAACTGCCATCCTCAGATGCAAATCCGAGGGCTGATGGCTTAAGGCTGGTACCTAAAGCCAAAAGACTGGGTGTGATCATCAAGGAAGTGTGTACAGAGGACATTCCATTTTCGCATGGGCAATGTGTGTACACATGTGCATACGCACGCACGCGCATGTGCGCGTACACACACACATACACACACACACACACACACTCAGAAAAGAGGAGGAAGCAGTCAGTGAAGGAGGAGACCTGGGAAAGTTTTGACCCAAGAGCAATGTGGGCTGGAAAGTTAGTGCTGAGGAAGGTCACCAAATAGGAACAGAGAACCACCCTGCTTTGGGGCTGGGAATTCCTACCAGCCGTTCCCCATAACACACAGCAAAGTAGTCAGTGTATTATTTCATTTTATTTTTATTTTTGTCAGCTGTGGGGCTTGAACTCTGCCCCTCAGCTCTTCAGTTCAAGGTTAGGGCTCTACCACTTGAACCACAGCGCCACTTCCGGTTTTCTGGTGGTTTATTGGAGATGAGAGTCTCACAGACTTTCTTCCCCAGGCTGGCTTTGAACGGCAATCCTCAGATCTCAGCCTTCTGAGTAGCTAGGATTATAGGCATGAGCCACCAGTGCCTGGCATGCGGATTATTTTAAGTGATAAATAAACAGTGTTGGGCATTGGTGGCTCACTCCTTGTAACCCTAGCTACTGAAGAAGTTGAGATCTGAGGATTGAGATTCAAAGTTAGGGAAAACAGATCCAAGAAACTCTTCTCTTCAATTAACCAGCAAAGAGCGAGGTGTGGCACAAGTGGTAGAATGCCAGTCAAGTGAAAAAGACTGAAAAAGAGTGAAAAAGAGATGCCAGGTGCTGGTGGCTCACGCCTGTCATCTTAGCTACTCAGGAGGTGGAGATCTGAGGATCATGGTTCAAAGCCAGCCTGAGCAGGAAAGTCCAAGAGACTCTTATCTCCAATGAGCCACCAAAAAACTAGAAGTGGCGCTGTGGCTCAAGTGATAGAATGCTAGCCTTGAGCAAAAGAAGCTCAGAGACAATAAGCAGGCCCTGAGTTCAAATCCCAGGACTGGTATCAAAACAAAAACAAAACAACAAAAGAAAAGAAAGAGAAAAAAGGAAAGAAAAGTCCAGTCAGGCACCAGGGGTTCACACCAGTAATCCTAGCTACTCAGGAGGCTGTGATTTGAGGATTGCAGTTCAAAGCCAGGCTGGGCTTGAGAGTCTATAAGACTCTTATCTCCAATGAATTATAAAAAGCCAGAAATGGAGCTGTAGCTCAAGTAGTTGAGCACTAGCCTTGAGCACAAAAGCTCAGGAACAGCCCTCAGCCATGAGTTCAAACTCCAGGACTGGCAAAAAAAAAAAAAAAAAAAAAGGCTCTCTGAACAGAGGGATTAATTAAAAGGAAAGAAAGGTAGCCTGGGGCCCATGGCTCATGCCTAGCTACTCAGGAGGCTGAGATCTGAGGATCATGGTTTGAGGCCAGCCTGGGCAGAAAAGTCTGTGAGACTCTTATCTCCAATAAACCACTCAAGAAAAAGCCAGAGGTGGTGCTGTGGCTCAAGTGGTACAGCACTAGTCTTGAGCACAAAAAGGCTCAGGGACAGTGCCTAGGCCCTGAGTTCAAGCCCCACCTGTGAAAAGAAAAGTAATTTAATATGTGAAAAGAAGATCTGGGTTATGGCAGGAGAGATCTGAACCTCTTACCGCACCTTTCCTTACTTTTGGGCCTTTTTCCTCCCTAGAGGCCGGGGGTCCGGCCCCTGGGGTCCCCTTCTTCCTCCTAGGATCCCAGTTAACGCTGCTACCCTTACTCAGGGCCTTTAGCCTCATCTCCCTTAAGCAGCAACATCAGGTTCCCCTCCCCCCCTTGCCCCTCTTGTTTCTGGAGGATGGTACCTTAGGTCCCTAAAACCAAAGACTGTGGCCCCCCCTCCCCGCACCCCCACCCCCAACCCAACTTCCTCTTTCTGGGAGCCCCGCCCACTGCTCATTCAGACACCGAATTCGCTGGAGCGGAGCGCGGGGACTCCCAGGCCTGTGGGCGGAGCCCGGCCCACGGATGGGCGGGGCCACCACCTCATTTTTTAAAAACTCAAGGCGGGGGAACCCGAACCCCTAGATCGGGGACCCGGCGAGGCGGCTCTGCTGGGGCCAGGGTGGGGAGGACACAAGGAGGCTGGCGCAGCGCCGGGGGGCCCGTGGCCCTGGGGGCCCACAGTCCATGCCCAGGAACCCCCGAGGTAAGAGGGGGAGCGGGGATGGCCAGGCGGGGTCTGCTCTTTAATTTTTAGAGCTTCTCTTTAGCTCAAGGCGAGCGCTTTTCCACTTGAGCCGCAGCGCCATTTCTGCCTTTTGGGAGGTAATTTGGAGATTAAGTATCTCACAGACTTTCTGCCCAGGCTGGCTTCGAACGGTCATCCTCCAGAGCTCAGCCTCCCGCAGTAGCTGGGATGACAGACGAGATCCCTGGTGCCGGGCTCCTGCCCCATTCTTCTTCTTTTGTCTGTCATGGGGCTTGAACTCTGGGCCTGGGCGCTGTCCCTCGGCTCTTCAGCTCAAGGCGAGCGCTCTACCACTTGGGCCACAGCCCCACTTCTGGTTTTCTGGTGTCTTATTGGAGATCAGAGTCTCACGGACTTTCCTGTCTAGGCCGGCTTTGAACCGCTATCCTCAGATTTCAGCCTCCTGAGTAGCTAGGATGACAGGCGTGAGCCACCCGCGCCCCGCTCCTGCCCGATTCTTGAAAACCAAATGACAGGCTGAGGGTTGGGCTTTTGGGTCCCAGAGAGACAGCACTGGAGCACCAAGTGTAAAGGGGGGGTCTGAAAGTGAGGGTACCCCACTATTTGTGAAGGGGGGGAGCAGAGAGCCCCACTCCCCCCCCCAACCCCATCCAGATGGAGACAGAGGAGCGGTGGGGTCCTGGATTCCCGGCCCAGGGGATCTGGAAGTTGGAGGTCCCGGGGTGCCTTCATTCCTAGGGTGCGGAGCGTCTGAGGCTGGACCCCGAGGGTCCACGCTGACCACGAGTGACCTTGTCCCAAGCTCTGGGACTTCCCGGGACACACCCCCCCTCCCGCTGTGATTGACGTGCCCGGGAGGCGCGGGAATTCCCCCGCCTGCGGGGGATTCCACGCGCTCCACGCTGGGGCTGCGAGCGCAGCGGGACACCTGCAGCGCGGGGCTGGGGGGGGGGGAGCAGCGGAAGCTGGAGGTGGAAGATTCCCTTGCGTGAGCGAGCGCCGTGACGTCAGCGCGTCGCCTGCGGCAGCCCCTCCCCTTAACCCCTCTTTGCCTGGAAGCCAGGCTCCCAAGACTGAGAATTTGAGGATGAGGATGAGGAGCCGTCGGGGTGATGCTGGGTCCGTGGGAAAGGGGGAGACTTGGACTCGCAGGTTCTAAAGAGGAAGGGGCTGAGGTGCCTTCCGGCCCCGGGGGTCCTGGGCTCCCAAATCTGGAGAGTGGGATGTGTGGGAGAGGAGGGCGAGGGAGGGGGGGTCTGCACCCCTGGATTTTTGATGAGCTCGTGGAGGGCTTGGGACTTGAACACCTGGCTGGTCAGCTGGGAGCTCCAGAGAGACCTTGAGCCTAGAGATGTTGAGACCCTGGATAGGTTTCTTCAGGAGACACCCCGTCTTCTCATACACCCCAACACCCCTGAAATCAGGACTGAGAGGACTGTGGGTGGGATGCTGCTGCCGAGAGGCACAGCCCCCCCCCCCACTTCCTCAGTCTCCATCAGAGTGGTGGAAAGTTCGGTCGCTTAAAGGAAGGAAAAAGGCGGGCCCTGCTCTTAAAATCTGGCTATTGGTTTTGGGGTTCTCAGGCAGTATTGATGTACTATTTCCATGCGGGAGAGCAAGAAAGGCTCCCACCTCCGCTTGCTCCCCCATTTCCTCTCCTCCCCCCCCCACCCCGAGGTGTACTTGGGTGACTTAAAGGACCTGTGATGACTTCCTTCCTTCCTCCTCCCCCTCACAGTGAATCGGAATGAGCGCAGCCATTGCCCAACCCAGACAGTAAAGAAGCTTCTGGAAGAACAGAGGCGCCGCCAGCAGCAGCCTGATGCTGGTGGGGTACAGGTGAGGTTCAGGGGTAACCCTTTTAAGCAATGATTCTCGTACAGCTTGGTGTAGGAGACGCTCAGAGGTGCTGACTCTGGTGTCCCATAGCTGGGCAATGGTTGTTGAGGAATCTTCTAGATGTATGAGTAACCTTGGTGCTTTTTGCTTATGTCTGTAGGGACCTTTCTCTCCTCCCCTGGCCCAGCCCCTGACCCCCTCCGTGAACGCAGTGAATGAGGCTGAGGCTGGTAAGTCTGGAAATTCACCTGTTTTCCTCAGCTCCCAGCCCCAGGCACTCAAACATCTCAACTCAGAATTGGGGGGGGGGAGGGAGGAGCAAGGATCTGGTGGCTCACACCTGTCATCCTAGCTACTCAGGAGGCTGAGATCTGAGGATCATGGATTAAAGCCAGCCTGAGCAGGAAAATTCCATGAGACTTATCTCCAGTGAGCCACCAAAAAGCTAGAAGTGGAGCTGTGGCTCAAGTGGTAGAGAGCCAGCCTGAATAGCTCTGGTAACCAGGCTTGTCCTCACCCTTCCTCATCCACACAGGTCATACTCACTTCCCA